AGTTGGTCTAAAGGGGATTCAAGTCCTTGCGACATCTTCCTTATGCACAACGATTGAAACGACGGTACTATTACATGACACTAGTTTAAAAAAAATTGTGTGGGATTGTTGGATATTTTTGTTTTTTAGTAACAGCCGCCCATGAGTTTTTAAACAGCCATCATCTTTGAAAGAGAAGCAGCCAAATTTGATTTTTGAATAAAGTGGTGGGTCCCATCGAAGAAAAATAAGAGCGTGGGCCCCACATGCATAGTAAAATATATTATTTTATTAGTGCATAGTATTTTTCTAAACGCTATAAATAGACCTCAAATCCTTAAGGAAAATTCATTTCAAAAACAACAATCAATATATACAGATATATATATTGTAGAATAGCTAGTGCTAGTAGGAACAGTGCCCAGACCGATGTCTTATAGATCGAGGAGATCTTTGCCTGAGGAGATCGAGGAGATCTTTGCCTGATAGATGGAGGAGATCTTTGCTTTATAGATCGAGGAGATCTTGACAGTATTGGGTTGGTGCACACCAGAGTACCAGACTGCTGTTCCTGGAAGCAATTTGGCCTTGGGATCCTTGCACCGGAGTAGGCCAAATAGTGCTTTAAGCACAGCGTTTTACAAACGCACAGCAGCTGCGTTGGAATATTTTAAATTACTGTACTTCAATTTTCTGTTCAGTTTTTATTGTTTTATATCTGTACTATTCTAGATTTAACCACAGGCGCCAACAATAATATCTAGGTTTACATATGTGGCCAGTAATTCTTAATAGAGGTGTCACAATACGTATAAAAAGACATTATTAATAATGTACTCACGTTCACTATAATCAATCAAGAACTTTAATGAGATGAGCACAATTAGAATTGAGCTTGCGTATCTCTGTATTTTAAAATTTCCTCATTCGAAAATATACTGAACACGTTATTTTTAATGTTGGTTACTAAGCAATTACTTACCCATTGATCTCTCGTTCGATTTACGCAGACGATTCTAAGAAATATCATCCTACAATGAAGGATGGTTTTCAGTTAAAACGATCACATACATGGATAAGTGTGAGATCTCCATTTTAGCTTTGAGTGATGCTACAGGCACACCTCCGGCCACACCACCAGCCACACCCCCTCACCTGCTACAGTGCAAGGGGGCCCGCCCTGCACGGGGTGTGGCTGGTGGTGTGGCCGGAGGTGTGTCTGTAGCATTTTTTTTTTAGGTTTTCCCCCTCTACCCACGGAATGAAGACCTCGAGATAAAAAAATTATACATAGAAATTGCCTATGAATAAAAGGAAAAACCAAGTACCTGAAGTATATTTTAAATGAAAAAAAATATATTTTTATATTTTGTTGATCATATGTGACATATTAGTATAGTTTCTTCCTCCGGCAACGATATGGTGTATTTAACGGACCAAGAAGACAAATTTCCCTAATTTTTAGCCGGAGCCAAAATTCCAATCATATAGAGGGCAAGTGAGTCGTCACGTGCATTGGACGTGGCAGTCAATGTGAATAGTGGTTGGAATCATTGAAGTGAATTGAAATGCTCCCCCCCCTCGCCTACGTCCTTCAAAACTAGATATCTCTGGAGAGCTGCCAGCCCAAGCCCAATTAAACTAGATTGGGCCATGCAGTATTTAACTTTAGGGTTGACCCACTTGGGTCACTATCCAATAGTCTAAGAAAATTTTTCCAGGGACCCAAAATATAGGACAAACAGGAGGGACATGTGAGGTGTCCCCCTCCTATTGCATAATGAGCTGGCCATCATTCCCCCTTCTATTGCATAATAAGCTGGCCATCATTAATGATTGCCAGCTCATTATGCAATAGAAGAGGTACACATCTCACCTGTCCTCCCAATTAGTCCCATATTTTGGGTCCCTGTAGCAAAACTCATAGTCTAATTAGGCTATGTGGTGTCACCTTGATTTGATGATCGTTTATAAGTCTACATATGCTCCGTGTAGGGCGGTGTCACCTAACACCAACTTCAACTGTGTAGCTCCGCCCTTGAGTAGGGCAAGACATGGATGATAGGGAAATGCATGCATACTAGAGAAAGCCTAATTGCAAAATGATGTATCTATAATGATGAACACATAATGTATGTAAATTGAAGATTAAGTCGTGGCAAGATGAAATGAGTTGAACTCTAGACAGATTGGAGAAAACTAGGTAAAATGACATAGAAACCTTTCATATAGGGTTATACAGTTTTTATTTCAACCAATTCTAAAGAACATTCGCACGCTACTTTTAACCCTCTGCACATATGGGAAGTACTGCAATCTTAGGATCTAATTACGTCCGTTGCCACTATAGTTGCAGTGCAAGTGCAGCTGCGGTAACACAGTCGCATGCCGTCATAGTTGCAGTTATAAATTTTGTTAATTTGTATCCAGAGTTGCAATTGCAGATGTTTATATTGGGATACCATGTTTTCTCGGATTATTTACAGAATTGCTTGCAACTGAAATTGTAACATAAAACATTATTTGCAGCGCAAAAATTTATTACCACAACTAAAGTTAAGTCCGTATAAGTATAATTAGTTGACCGCAAGTACTCGTTTTTTTTTTTTTTTTTTTTTTTGCAACTACGGTTACAACTACATTTTGAAACAAAATGCTGTCAGTTCAAATATCATAGCAGCACGCAACGACGGTCATAATATCTACAGTTGCAAAGAGCAAAATAGATCGTAAAGTTTATTTTTTCACGAAGAGTTTCTAAAATTTGTTCTCTCATTTCTGCCCGCTACCACTACACCTACTAATAACTGCATATTTCACATCAACATTAAAACCCTATTATGAGTATTATCCACCGTCACCCGCAACATTGAAAAGTGAAACCGACGGCCTAAAGTTAGACACCAGCCCTCTTTTAGCCAAAACCAAATGACCCCGGCGCTCACGAAAACGTCACGTACAATTGACAACAGGTAGACATTAAGAAGGCTTTTGGGCTCGTCTTAAAAAGCAAAGACATCGACGAGGCGGGGGATCGTGGGCTTGTCTTGTCTCGTCCAATTTGGGTAGTTGTGGTTTGGTACACAGCGTGTGGATCAAAATGGCTTGGGCTCACCGCCTCGTCCCAAACCATTCAAGAAATCAGTACGGGCAAAATAATTACTCCCACCCTAACCTTTATCCCCCCATCATCACACCCCCTCCTCTATAATCTATATAAACTCACCCTGCCTCCTCTTTTCCCTAATTTTTAGCCGGAGCCAAAATTCCAATCATATAGAGGGCAAGTGAGTCGTCACGTGCATTGGACGTGGCAGTCAATGTGAATAGTGGTTGGAATCATTGAAGTGAATTGAAATGCTCCCCCCCCTCGCCTACGTCCTTCAAAACTAGATATCTCTGGAGAGCTGCCAGCCCAAGCCCAATTAAACTAGATTGGGCCATGCAGTATTTAACTTTAGGGTTGACCCACTTGGGTCACTATCCAATAGTCTAAGAAAATTTTTCCAGGGACCCAAAATATAGGACAAACAGGAGGGACATGTGAGGTGTCCCCCTCCTATTGCATAATGAGCTGGCCATCATTCCCCCTTCTATTGCATAATAAGCTGGCCATCATTAATGATTGCCAGCTCATTATGCAATAGAAGAGGTACACATCTCACCTGTCCTCCCAATTAGTCCCATATTTTGGGTCCCTGTAGCAAAACTCATAGTCTAATTAGGCTATGTGGTGTCACCTTGATTTGATGATCGTTTATAAGTCTACATATGCTCCGTGTAGGGCGGTGTCACCTAACACCAACTTCAACTGTGTAGCTCCGCCCTTGAGTAGGGCAAGACATGGATGATAGGGAAATGCATGCATACTAGAGAAAGCCTAATTGCAAAATGATGTATCTATAATGATGAACACATAATGTATGTAAATTGAAGATTAAGTCGTGGCAAGATGAAATGAGTTGAACTCTAGACAGATTGGAGAAAACTAGGTAAAATGACATAGAAACCTTTCATATAGGGTTATACAGTTTTTATTTCAACCAATTCTAAAGAACATTCGCACGCTACTTTTAACCCTCTGCACATATGGGAAGTACTGCAATCTTAGGATCTAATTACGTCCGTTGCCACTATAGTTGCAGTGCAAGTGCAGCTGCGGTAACACAGTCGCATGCCGTCATAGTTGCAGTTATAAATTTTGTTAATTTGTATCCAGAGTTGCAATTGCAGATGTTTATATTGGGATACCATGTTTTCTCGGATTATTTACAGAATTGCTTGCAACTGAAATTGTAACATAAAACATTATTTGCAGCGCAAAAATTTATTACCACAACTAAAGTTAAGTCCGTATAAGTATAATTAGTTGACCGCAAGTACTCTTTTTTTTTTTTTTTTTTTTTTTGCAACTACGGTTACAACTACATTTTGAAACAAAATGCTGTCAGTTCAAATATCATAGCAGCACGCAACGACGGTCATAATATCTACAGTTGCAAAGAGCAAAATAGATCGTAAAGTTTATTTTTTCACGAAGAGTTTCTAAAATTTGTTCTCTCATTTCTGCCCGCTACCACTACACCTACTAATAACTGCATATTTCACATCAACATTAAAACCCTATTATGAGTATTATCCACCGTCACCCGCAACATTGAAAAGTGAAACCGACGGCCTAAAGTTAGACACCAGCCCTCTTTTAGCCAAAACCAAATGACCCCGGCGCTCACGAAAACGTCACGTACAATTGACAACAGGTAGACATTAAGAAGGCTTTTGGGCTCGTCTTAAAAAGCAAAGACATCGACGAGGCGGGGGATCGTGGGCTTGTCTTGTCTCGTCCAATTTGGGTAGTTGTGGTTTGGTACACAGCGTGTGGATCAAAATGGCTTGGGCTCACCGCCTCGTCCCAAACCATTCAAGAAATCAGTACGGGCAAAATAATTACTCCCACCCTAACCTTTATCCCCCCATCATCACACCCCCTCCTCTATAATCTATATAAACTCACCCTGCCTCCTCTTTCATTTGCTCATTGCTAACTTCAGCATCTTTTACAAGATGTTGAACAGCGTTGTGGACTCTATCAAGGAGAAGCTTGAGGGGGGGAATGAGAAGGCCAAGATCAAAGGAACGGTTGTCCTCATAAAGAAGAACGTCTTGGGTTCGAGTGATTTCAATGCCTCCATCCTCGACAACATATATGAACTCGTGGGGAAGCATGTTTCGTTCGAGCTCGTGAGCGCAACTGTTTCGGACCCGAGTGAGCAATTTCTTCATCTTCCCTTTGTAATCTATAATAATTTCTTGTTAATTTTTTCTACGTAGGCCCCGTCCTGTTTTATGGTCCATCGATGATTAGTTAATATTTTTTGGCATTTCGCAAAGTATTGATCAGTATGCTACGTACACAAGTCATGAGTAAAACGTTAATACATGGATATGCATCATTATATAATTTTTTTTTTTTTACTCTTCGATGCTATGAGTTCTTGGATATAATTGAAGGATCTAATATAATTTTTCTCATGAGAAATCAGATGATATGATGAAGGGAAAGGTAGGGGAGCAAGCACATCTCGAAAATTGGATATCGTTTCCTAGCTCTATAGCAGCCGGAGAGTCGACTTTCGCTGTTACATTCAGTTGGGAGGAGGAGCAAGGAGTCCCAGGGGCTGTTATAGTGAAGAACAACCATCATTCTGAGTTCTACCTCAAGAGCCTTACTCTTGAGAATTTTCCAGGAAAAGGAAGGATTCACTTTGTGTGCAACTCTTGGGTTTATCCTGTGAAGTACTACAATTACGATAGGGTCTTCTTCACTAATAATGTGTGGTCTCTCTCCTTCACCCTCTTTAATTTAATGGATAAAATCTATGCCCCCACCATGAAAGAAACATCATGCATAAGAAAGTGAAATTTGGTGAGAAGATGATGTTAGCCAATTACGTTAGATTTCATTATTTATGAAGATATCCCTAAATCATCAACTCTGTCGCATATAGCGAGTAGATATTTGACCATCTTGTTGATATTTTTACATTAGAAATTAGCATATTAAAGTTGATGATTTATTGGTTTGGGATATTTTATTCAAAAGTTAATAATTTGAGGGTAGTTTTTCAAATATGCAGACGTATGTACACACACACAAAAAAAAAACCTTTTGTAATATGAACCTTCTACCCGTTTATTAATAATCTTAGTGTTATTTCTTTAATTATGCACTACACACATGGTCTTCTTCATTAATCGTGACACCCCCGCTTTAGTCCCAAATGGACTAGTGTGAAGAAGTGTTAGTGTTTTAAATAGAGAAAAGTCCAAGGCTTAAGAACAAATAGTGCTAGCATTTTGGAAGTGAACTTTAGCCAACATTAAATTGCTCTCGATGGGCCCCACGGCTTGCACTCGCCAAAGGGCCCGCGGGCGCGGGGCGTGACATTAATAATGAATAATCTACAACTAGACATGGTCATATGGGGAAAAAACAGGAAGCTTAAATAAATGAAATTTGTTGAGAAGATTTACGTTAGTGAACGTTGCTTTTTATGGGCATTGGAATAGGCTACTGGTCCAAAGTCCAAACTCTAATCTTATGATCACATGCGTGCATGTATAATTTTGAATTTCCCCTTTCCCCCACTTTTAGGTGATGATTCTTGTACACTTTTATTTATTTATAGCTAATTACCTAAAAGCCGCCTTTCCCATAAATTGATAAATAGTGGAACCTTATGAACTAAGCCACTTTCAAATTAGTAGTAGAATGAATTAGGTTCTTGATCAGCTGTCTAACTAATATTGGATATTAGGTTTGATGAGATTGTGTGGTACTCGAATGAAGGACTAAGGTCCAGTCCTAAAGTATAATGGCTAATTATAAATTCATGATCATAGTCATATATAGTGGATTTAATTGAACTATTTTTTTTCCCTGTTGCAACTGGGCTCAAGAGAATGATGTAGGGACCTAAATATTGCTAATACGTAGAGAGCCATGTATAAGATGAAATTTCGTGTATTATTTATCTCTTGAATAGGTAAAGAAATGAAAAATATTTGTGTTTAATGCAAAAAAGATAAATAAAATGAAAATGATAAGAACTGCATAGCTTATGAATCAAACTCTAGGCTTACTTCTAAAAATATTAAAAAATAATAATAATAAAAACAACGCTGTGCCTGTAGTCAAAATTTTGTATTTCAATCATCTATGATGTTTACATGTACCATATTCAACCAAACAAAGAAAAATTAGCACAAAATAAAAATTAGTTACTTTATTTTAATTAATGGAAAATATACTTGCAGACTTACCTCCCCATCAACACCCCGAAAACTCTAAAGCAATACAGAAAGGAAGAGCTTCTACACCTGAGAGGAGATGAAATACACGGGGAACTTCAGACACATGATCGGATTTACGGATATGCTTTCTATAATGATCTCGGTGAGCCCGATAAGGGCCCATCTTATGCCCGTCCCGTTCTTGGCGGGTCCCAAGAGTACCCTTACCCTCGCCGAGGACGAACCAGTCGTCCACCCACCAAGACAGGTCAGAAGTATAACCTGTTTTTGGGTTGGACTACACGAATCATAATCTTCCATTTGTTAATCATTTTAAAGATCACATTGACTATCATCGTATTCGTATCATTCTTAATCGTTTTTAACCAAACTATTTATTTTATGACAGGTGTCATTTTTTTTGTCTCATTAACGATAATCTTATAATTTCTTTTGCCCGGTGCATTTTGTTGTCGTCTGACGCTCAATCATTTTAATCAATCCTCTTTCATTTTATATCTAGTGATAACAACCTCTTAACATCCTACACGTGCAATCACTTCTTACTCTGTATCTGAGTGTACATCCAATAAACCATCTTAACACTCTCATTTCTATTAGACCCGTGTTCTGCACCGGTTGTTTCTTCCAACATTATGATCTTTATAGCATTGTTGATCTTATAACTGTCCATTGCAGACCCTAACACTGAGAGTCGATTACCGGGCATAGGTCTTGACATTTACGTCCCTCGAGATGAAAGATTTGGGCATCTCAAACTGTCTGATTTCTTAGGAAACGCTATCAAGGTCCTTGCTGAAGCCCTTGTGCCTGCACTCAATGCTCTCTTCGATAAAACGCCTCTGGAGTTCGACACGTTTCAGGACGTTCTGAACCTTTATGAGCGTGGAATCGTGTTGCCTGATTGCCCTGAACTCGATGAGATCAAGGATGGGTTCCCACTTGAGTTGATAAAGGATCTTTTGCCGAGCTCTGGGGAACACCTCTTCAGGCTCCCCACGCCAGATATTATCGAAGGTAAACACATTGCAAGCACTTCACAAATCCTAAGAGGACAAATAACTCAAACAGGTATGAATGAATATTAATTCCTAGATATATCACATACTTATTCGATCAAGAACGGATATTGGTTTTAAATATATTCATATTCGGTTGGACCCGTGCAAATATGAATCACTATTTTCGATCAGGTACAAATACATTTAGAGATGGTTAGATACCTTTATTTATCAAAATGTTGAAACTGTTTTGGTATTAATATTGAATCGAAACCTTATTTTGTATAGTTATGTCGAGCAATCGGTGGTACAATTTATGACATTCTATTTAGACGGTTTTTGCATCACATAATCTCTGTACTTCGAGTTTTATCCGTGCTTTCCTTCCACGTTTTCCTTATCGAACATTACTTCTATCCATATCAATATCCGTGATTGAGTAAATTAATACAAACATGGCAAAATGATACATCAGATCCAGATTTGATCCATTTGCACCCCTACTAGTGACTAGAAGTCCCATGGCCGACAATTTGATTTACTAACGACGTCCTTTCTGCATGACAGAGGATAAGTTGGCTTGGAGAACCGACGAAGAATTTGGTCGGGAAATGCTTGCTGGCGACAACCCTGTAATCATCAGCCGGCTTCAAGTATTACCAAACAACTCATTCACATTGAAGAGTTTAACACACACGTACACACACACACGAGAGGAAGAACCTGATGTATCTAATTTCGGTATTACAGGTATTTCCTCCAACAAGCAAACTCGACCCAGAAATGTACGGTGATCAAAGAAGCTCCATAACAGCATCCCACATTGAGAAGAACCTAGAAGGTCTCACAGTTGATCAGGTAACGTTGCATGTATTTGTAAGGTTCATTTACAAATGCACCTCTATACCATTGCCATAAGAGGTGGCCTAGTGTCATTGTATTTTTTCGCTGAACTCTCGTAAAAATCACATGGTCACCAGACTTGGACGTTTGACCAATATTCTCATGAGAGGTTAAGAACCAATGAAAAATAACACCGGTATGTTCTAATAAAACAAAGAGAATTTCACAAAGAAACTATTCAAAACTATTTTTATTAGAGAAATTAACAGAAACTCTCTAAGAGGTTAAGGTACAAGTAAAACTCTTAAATTCCCCTATTATAACTTCCCAGCTCAAAAAATAGTTCATTGCAGAGGCCTAGAGAAGGACAAAAATGTCCGAATGCTTATGTAATTTAAAGAAAATTATAAATGTCCTCAACAACTAGTTCTTGCTAGTTTTGAAATTAATCCTGTGTAATTTGCGTAATCGCAAAATGTACCCTATTTATAAGCTTCAGGCATTAGTCTGAATTTGATTGCTCGTCCACAGGCCCTTAGCACCCACAGACTATTCATATTGGACCACCATGACACACTCATGCCCTACTTGAACCGCATCAACTCCGACACTTCAAGCAAGATCTATGCCACAAGAACCCTCCTCTTCCTCAAAGATGATGACACTCTTAAGCCACTCGCAATCGAGCTCAGCCTACCAAACCCCAAAGGTGAACATCTCGGCGCAATCAACAAGGTTTTCACGCCAGCCAATGATGGCATCGATGGATCAATCTGGCATCTGGCTAAAGCTTACGCCGCTGTCAACGATTCTGGGGTTCATCAGCTCATCTCACATTGGTACATATTTACTTGCAGATACAACTCAGTATAGTATTATCTCTATGCTTTCTATTAGCGCTTAGACCTGCTGAGTTCAAAGTCCAAACAGAGTTGTCTCTGTTGTATGTACCCCTAATGTATGGTGGGGGCGCATGTTCAACACCAATAAGAGAATATAGGTTCTATCCGCAACACATTGAAATATTTGGGGCTCTTTGGACAATACATTAACATCATCTGACACCCACTGAGAGACATAGATAATGATTAAATAATTATGTTTGAACATTAAAGGATCTAAACGCTAGTAAAAGGTTTTAAGGTCGCTAATGACTGCACACAAGGAGTGGGTATGCAATTAGCACTAGATTCAGACATAAAGGCCATCAAGTTTGAAAGTTTTTCCCGATTTTCATTTTTACTGAATGCTGTTTACAGGTTGCATACTCATGCAGTGATCGAACCATTTGTGATAGCAACCAACCGACAACTGAGTGCGCTGCACCCAATTTACAAGCTTCTGAGTCCTCACTACCGTGATACTATGAACATAAATGCACTAGCTCGTCAAATCCTTATCAATGGCAATGGCATTCTCGAGGCTACGGTCTTCCCAGGAAAATATTCTATGGAGCTTTCCTCTTTTATGTACAAGAACTGGAAGTTCACTGATCAAGCCCTCCCTGCCGATCTCATTAAGAGGTATCACATTTTCGTCATTCCTCTAGTCTCATGGGTTTGTTGATCTTATAGAATAAAACCCATTTTTATATTGACTGAAGGTCAGTCTTCAAGATTTCCCTCTTGCTCTATCCCTATCCTCCCATGTGTACACCAGTTTAAATCAAAAGAAAACATTTTCCTTTTGTGAGAATCAATATTATTACATTCCAATCTTTCCCTGCTACACCCAAGAAAAAAGGGTAAGTTTTATAGAATTTCCTTGAACATTTGGGTGTCTTGCAAAAAGTCCCACTTGAGAAAACTTTCCTGAACTTGTTTCGCTAAAATAAATTGAGTCACGGCAATAGTCTAAGTTGTCATGTGGTTCGCACATGACATGTTTTTTTAAGATAACTTTGCCCCTATGCACTTAAATATATCTCCTAGATTACCACATTCTTTTACCCCTTAACATTAATGTTGACTATGACGGTTCATGACAATTTCCAATAGTTCAGGGTTTTTTTTCACTATAACTTTGAAAAACCAAAGTATTTCTCAAATGTATAGCATAGGAGGGCTACATGCAAAGCACTCCAAAGTTCTGGTACTAAATTTACCTAAAAAGGTTAAATAAAATAAAATAAAAACTAAATTGGATGGTAAACCAGATCTTTATTTTATGCCTATCTCAAACAACAGTTTCTCTAATCACATTCAGATTAATTTTTGAAAAAAATTAGAGTGCTCACATTCAGATTAATTTCTTTTTCTTTCTTCCATTTTCTTAGAGGCATGGCTGTAGAAGACTCAACTCAACCAAACAACATCCGCTTACTGATCAAAGACTATCCTTACGCTGTGGACGGGCTAGCCATATGGTCAGCTATCCAGATATGGGTCCAAGACTATTGCTCGATCTATTATACCAACGATGAAACTGTAAAACATGATGATGAGCTCCAAGCATGGTGGACGGAGATTAGAGAGGTAGGGCATGGAGATAAGAAGAATGAGCCATGGTGGCCATCAATGAACAGCCTCTCAAACTTAACAAATACATGCACTACAATAATATGGGTAGCCTCAGCTCTTCATGCAGCTGTTAACTTTGGTCAGTATCCTTATGCTGGGTACCTCCCTAATCGTCCTACAATAAGTCGTCAGTACATGCCAGAACCGAGCTCTGCCGAGTACGAAGAGCTCAAAAGGAACCCTGATAGGGTCTTTCTAAAGACAATCACGAGCCAGTTACAGACGATACTTGGAGTGTCACTTATTGAGATTTTGTCAAAGCATTCATCGGATGAGGTGTATTTAGGGCAAAGGGATACAAAGGAGTGGACAGCGGACGACAATGCACTGGAGGCGTTTAAGAGGTTTGGAAATAGACTGCTTGAGATTGAGAATAGGATAATTGAGATGAATAAAGATGTGGGGCTTAAGAACAGGAATGGGCCAGTGAAGTTGCCTTATACATTGCTGTATCCGAGTACGTCTGATTTTTCGAGGGTTGGAGGGTTAACTGGTAGGGGAATTCCTAATAGCACTTCTATTTGAGATACTTCTTATAGTTTGTGATGGGTGATAGTTTGAGCTTTTCACGTAAGAATTATATAGTTAGTAAATAAATAAAAATCAGGAGGGGGCAATCTAATGGACTATTTTCATGTAAAACCTGTCTAAGTAATGTTCATAAAGAAGCAGGTTGGCAGCATATGCTTGTGTATCGGTTATCAGGAGCTAAAAGAATGACGGTGTGAAAAAACAAATACCAATTGCCACTGAACAATGACTTCTTCAATTAGCTACAAGAGCATGAAGTGTTTTCCAAGTCTTTAATCTGGTTACTTTCAATTAAAGGTCGAGAAGAAGGATATTCCAATGTACACGTTTCATATCTGTTGTGATCATTATGAATTTATAATGTTACAATTTGGATTTTATGGATACATTTGAGTTTTAAATGAATTCCATATGTATCTAGAATTTTCTGGAATGATTTTTTATGTTGTTGATGACACTTTTTTATATCCTAAACATAAGAAAGAACATGAGGAGTGGCAATGAAGTTTCTATTCACCAGTATTACTTCAATGATTTGCGCAAAAATATTTTCTGTGATGTCGGTATGGTCATAAATTGAAATGGAAAATTTCCCAAACCTTTCTTTATAGTGAGTTAACTCCAATAAAGCACAGGTCCTCAACTTGTAAAAGGGAATGGCATTATTGTATTTAAAGTTCTCATTTGTAAATAATCTGCACTAGTAAAAGAATCAATACATGCACTTTTTAATTATTCTAATTACTTTAATTATTCTAGCAACAAAACAAAGTTAACTCGAATACAGTTAATACATAGTCAGCTGCTCACTTTATGCATGAAGTGCTGCTCCTGCGGACATTAATTAAGGTAGATCTATAACAACTAAGAGAATAAAAAAAATCTTCATAACTACACAAATTCCTGAAAAAGAGAAGTTTATAGTCATCTACAATTCTGTAAAAGAAATCATTTTCGTACCAGAGGGCCAAAAAGAAATTGGAGGCAGTAATTCAAGTCATTTGATTTATTTCCATATCTTTGGGAAGTTCAAGAAACTTATGTTTTGAGAAGAGATTCCAAACCGAGCTCAAAATCTTCTTTAGCACGTTTATCAAAGGGATCATCCCCAACGTAAAGATCTAATACAGACTTGCACAAGAGCTTGCTCTGGATGCTACCCACCTCCTTTCCATCAACTAGAGGTAAAAGAGAAAAGCTGGTCAGAGTTATTGTTTCAAAATATACAACAGCTAAAATTAATATTATCAACATAAATTAGTTCCCTTGACGCTCATGATATTTATTACAACAACGGTGGCCTTGTATCAATCAGACACATGAGCATTAGATGTTGCCTCTAACAGAAGATACTCTGAAAGTAATTATAAGAGGTTGCATTGAACTTTTACAAGAGGCTGGCATTCAGCTTTTACAAGGGAGGGATATTAGCATAAACCTTAGATCATAGTGTATTTTTTATGGTGCAGAATACACTGTCGTTAAGAAATCTTAACTCACCCTAATTGTCGTAACCATCATGCTGTGTTGTATGATTTATCACATGAATATGCAAGTATTATACAGAAACTTTGGTACAATATTCTTAAGCTATTAGTTTCAAAGAAAAATTGTCTACTAACCTAAAAGTGAATGCACTGAAAAGTACCGTTTAAATGCAAGGGTCCAAGAAACACACATAAAGATAGGATATTCCTAACATTATATAATGAACTTGGTTAAATTGCATAGTCGATTCAATCTTTTTTCACTAAATTATACAAGCTCAGTATTTCTATATCGTAACTCACTTGTACTACATAAAACAAGTTATTACATCATTCTTGTAGGCACAGGAAAAAGAGGCATTGTTACTGGAAAAAGAAGGCAAGAAGAGGGGAAGGAAAACAGATATAAACGATCGTCTTCCCAGCAAACACAATCCCATAACTGTAAATCATTTTTTATAAATTTTCAAGAGCTTCAATTATCTATTCTAAATATAGGAGTTTTGACTGATACTGTTAGTGCTGTGGCAAACTTTCTGTTATATTCCATCTAAAGATCTGCAAATTTGTAAATAAGAGTATGGTTTTTGTTATCTCTTCTTTTTTCTGAAAGTTATTTTTTTGCGTAGACTCCAGCAATAATTAGATAGATGACTGTGGCTGAGGATGACACTAAGTAAGTGCTGTATAGGCTAATCATGGCCTCTTTTGATGAGCTCAGCCTAACAAAAATGTGCCTGGGCTCAGTAGAAGATCCGGACTCTCAAATAAAAATGAAATCAATTCTTAAAAATAAAACAGAAATGAAATCTCTTGAGACCTTGTCACTAAGGTGACTAACAATATATATATATAACATGCCTTGATAATGCCCCATTTCATGTTTTGAGTACCGTAAGAACAAAATTTTGGCAATAGATGTGCAAGAATGCTCAATGACAGGAAAAATAATTTGTGCACCAAGCAAGGTTGCATCGAGGTTAAATAAGTTCCTTAACGAAAGTATTGGAGCCACAAAAGTGCATACTTCTGCCATCATATAGTGACTAAGATATAAGAGCAATGGATAGCAACCGGCAAGTGCTACTTGACAATTCCGTTAGAGAATGTGAAGGAAATAAGTTTGTTTATATTCAACCCACATTTAAGGTGGGATTCTGGTTACTCTGATACCCAGGCCAGCAACTGAGGAAGTTACACCAGAACTGTATTCCATAAGGAGACATACAACATAATAGCCGGTTTAGGCTCTAGCTACAGACTCATATTTAGTATAAGAAATTTCCTGATAAAACTTTGGTATCTCATATAATAAAGTTATATGAGACACCAAACACCAAGATGCAGCGAATGCAGGCCTAACATCCCAACTTGCAATATAATAAATATAATCACTTTAAAATATGATTCGTTTTACTAAGCATGCCATGTTGCTAAAATCTAATAAGTTTAAAAAAATATGGGCTGGTTACAAGATTATTTCCTGCTTTATGCTGCACGCGAACACCCACACATGTCGCACTGAGATAATGCGATCCGAAGGCAAAGATCATGAGCCGTAATAAATACTAATAAAATCTATTCAGAAACTCCTTAAAAGATACAATGATATAAAGTGAAAAATTAACAAAAACAAACTTACTTTTCACTTGAAGAATGAAATCCTTTTCCTTTGCAAGATCTATTATAGATCCACGTGGTAGTGGGTATTCATCTTTAAAATAGGATGTGAACCTGTAAGAAGATGGCTACTCGTTCACAATTACCAAATGAAAATTTTCATATTTATATTGTCCAAAAGCACAAATATTGAACTTGGGCGTGTTGTGCATGGCGCGACAGTCAGAGCTTATATAGAGTAGCAAACAAAATGCAAGAACTAGGAAAAAGTACCCACTTTCGTGTATTAAATTAAGATTAAGAAAAGAGAAGATCATTTCTAAAATTAATTCTTAAGCCAGGATGTATACTATAGGAGCTATTTACTTACCAAAATTATCAGAATAAATGATCTAGCAACAGGGAGTGAAGGTCAACAATAATCAAGTAAATATTGATACCATAAGGATATAAATGGAGTGGCAACTGGCAACTAAAAAGAAACAACTAGAGAAGAGACTGACTGTACACTAAAATCATGAGAATGTACCTATTAGAGGCACAGAAAAAATACTCTTGAGGAACATTGTGATTCGCCTAGACAAACAACTTTGGTGCAGGTTCTCTCCACAACTTCATAGCCATGACTTATAAATACAGAGGAAAAGGTAGAATTTAACTGAAAATGTGTATTAATAGGTAATGAACACTGAATTCATTTTAAACAGGTAGGTGCAGGTCATGTCTCTCCTCTCATTTAACAAAATAAGCTGCTTAGAGATAAAAGGTGGTGTAATCCACAGTCTCCACACCTTCTCCACGCCTTCTAATGTGAGAAGCAAGGTGGGCCACATGACATGTATATCTCTTGATAGCTCGTTTAGTAAAATGAGCTGACACCTCATATGCATTATTTATATACATACATACATATATATATAATATAGAGTGAGTGGAAGAATCAAGTGAGAGATTGAAATCAATGCTTTCGATGAATAGGGGTCCGGCATGGTAAATGGAACTTATTCTTCAGAAAGAAGTTTTGTAGTAATAGAGTTTTCCAAAGTAGCAGCACTTCCCCGGATGAAAAAGAACAGAGCACTTGGAGTTACATCCACAATGCAGAAAAGAATATGCGCCTTTGCAGTCATGCAGACTGCTTGGCCAATATTTCCTCAAACTGAATACTCACAAAATAATAATGCCATCAGACTAACTCAACTTTGTCCCCAAGACTCAGGAGACATGGATATATACTTTTGTATTACCTTAAGAACAATATATTACCAATAAATAAATAAATGAGAATAGAATGTGAAACCTACCTCTGAAGCAATTCTTTGTTATCTGGTCCACCAAATTTTAGGAGCCTGCTTCCTACAGATTCTTCAAAGGCACTGCGTACTGAACGAATGCTCAATCTACCATACACAATTTGAAGCCTAACTGTCATCCGTACATCCTGATCTAAGACATCAGAAATAACCTCCTTATTTTCTTTCCTTTCTGAATATTTCTTACTCAACTCCTTGACATCATTGTCATCAGCATAAACACCTGTTAAATGATAAAGATAAGAAAGGAAGATACTTGACTTAGAAGCATTTCATGATGAAATTATCTCACTGAGAAGGAGAAAATATTAAAATGAACTGTTTTTTAAACATAATAAGCAAAATCGACCTTTTCCCAAAAATATTAGCAATTTCGACCCTTTTTTGCCCACGTGGGCAGAAAACGATCGATTTTGCTGAAAGTGGGTTTTTAATTACACAGGACTAGTAGTCCCGTGTAATTAGTAGCTGCTAAACATATTTGCAGCTGTCCACGAAATACACAGGACTAGTAGTCCCATGCATTTCCTCGGCATCTGCGGAAGTTTCTGCTTAAAACACAGGAATAGCAGTCCCGTGGTGTTTTAAGCAGAAACTTTGGGTATGCACAAGAAATGCACGAGACTACTAGTCCTGTGCATTTCTTGGCACTTCTGGGTCAAAATCAAAATGCACGGGACTAGTAGACTCCTGCATTTCCTGGGCAATTCTTGTGCACGTTTTATGTGCATGTGTATTTCTTGTAAAAATATTGCAACAATCTCCAATTTTGTGTATTTCTTGTACAAATCTAAAAACCGTCTCACATCGATACTTATCTTAATAAATCTAACAAATCCCCACCACAAAACACACCACAAACTCATTTGCAAATCCGAAAACCATCTCACATCGATATATATCATAATATACCCATTCTTATCACACCACACATATTGAAGTTTCAAGTATACTTCTCATACTACCTCAGTATATATTGGAATAAAGCAAAGACACAAATAACATCCCAAAATAGGTTTGTAAAGTATAGAACGATAATGATTACTTTACATACATCCAAGAACTCTCCTCCTCCTCCATTGTCTTCGTCCTCTTCCATCTCCACCATCCTGAACTTGGATGAGTTCGTCATTCGGTAGCGTTTGTGGTTGTAACGGTCCGGCTTCATCGTTTACATGTTGCGAAGGTCCAGCTTCATTATTTCATATAAATGTGCCATCGATGCTTAATATCCGGTCGCCACAAGAAGCATGTCATTTGTGTCTACACCGTCATTCGCATCTACATCAGTCGCTACAAGAAGCACGTCTTTGTACTTGCTATATATGTGTGTGCCATCAATGCTCAGTAACGAATGACAAAAAATGAAACCCTTGATAGCAGGACCAAATGCCTAAAATACTCGAGTAAACTTCTCCACCCCAGGTGCGATCTCCTGAGACATTATTTCATATTCACTTTTCGGATTATTTTGCTTGATTGCTTCAAGATATTGTAAAAGTAATTCATAAGATTTCTCCCAATCTCCAGCTATTTTAGACAACGCTTTCCTCATTGCATCATATACCTTATATTTAGATATCTTAAAGCTCCGCATGTCATATATACTTTGAAATATCTGACCTGGATTTAAATCAAATTATGCTCTCACTTGGCATAATTAGCGTACATATCTAAGAGGAACATGTAGCCTTATGATCTACATCCACCGACGGATTACAACATGTATAAAATCCGCAGTATCTAGAGATTATAAATTGCCCATTTGATGATTTTCTCATAGCTGCATTTAACAATCAAGGACATTTTGCGTTTCTCTTATCCTGCTCACTTGCATGCTATACTTGAATCTTCTCATTGAAGTAACACTTTATTTGGTAGTTTGTTATATTAGATTTTACTGGCTTGAAATTGACACGTTTCTTGATGGCCTATCCTCGAATTGCATAGATCAACGCCTCCTTATTCTCGAATATATTCTTTTTAAAGGTGAAGTCCTCAGGTCGTTGAAAATGAACTAACATCAACAAATTCAGCTTAGGAGGTATTTATCCAATCCTTATTTTAAAATTCGTCGGGCAACAGATCCTCAAATTCCACATGATCATTGTTAACATAAAAATGATCCATCCAACGGGAGTCATCATATGCATGTTTCAATAGCCACATGCATGCTATCAATTTGCATGCCATGTTCTTCAATATCTTCCGAGTCATCATTTGCTTCTTCTTCTATAATTGATCCGGCCGGTAAGTTACACGTAACGTGACCCGTAACGTCGTTAAATATAATACTTGATGTCCCACCAAGAGAATGCCCGCTTAAATATTGTAATGTGCCCATGGCTCTTCACTTGGAGATGTCATAAACCCGCTCGATTCATTATCTAAGTTAAGCATGGGGGAGAACTCTCCTTGATGTTTCGAAATGTGGACAAATTTGAGAAACAGATACTTCTCAATGAACACCTTAGTCGCATATTCTTCTTTATTAATTTTAGTAACTCCAAGTATTTCCTTCTTCAAACCTTCAAAATTGCATGATTTAGATAACATAAACATTTTCCTAGTACCTCCCTAATACATAGGAATATTATTCACTCTAACGCCGATGCTTCCATTGAAGAAGCAAATAATGAGTATTGAGTTCGCCATAAAAAAACTAAAATATCAACATTCTATCATATGCAAATAATATATTATAGTTGAAATCAAATTATCAATGAATACAAAGTTAACCACAAATTTAACCATAAATTTCATAAAACGCATTAAAAATAACCTAATTCATATTCATATCAAAATTAAACCCTAACCTAATACATCCATATCATTCATCAAATTAAACTCTACCCTAATCCATCCATATCGAAATTAAATCCCAATAATATGGTTTGCCTAATCTATCGTCAAACAATATTTTTCATATAGCAATTTCATCATATTACTCATCAATTTCACCCTATCACTCATCATTTCACAAATAGAAAAAAAATTGCACCACAAAGAGAAAAACTTCACCTTGAACAAGTTGGACTCGACAGCGGCGGAGTGCGGTCGGCGGACGGCGACACACTATGGTGCGGGCGGTCGAAGAGAGGGAGGCGATGTGGAGACTAGTCGTGAGCGAGAGAAAGGCAAGAGAGATTAGGCACAAAGAGAGAGAGAGAGAGAGAGAGAGAGAGAGAGAGAGAGGTCAGGAAGAGAGCGAGAGGGAGTCACGAGAGTTAAATGGGTGGAGATTACAGAGGACTACTAGTTTCGTATAATTTTCACGCTTAATTAGTGTTTTGTAATTACACAGACTAGTAGTCCCGTGTAATTACAAACCTTACTTTTGCGATTTCGACCTCTTTTTGCCCAGCAGTGATGAGCTGGCAAAAAAAAGGTCAAAATTACTAATTTTTTTTGAAAAGGTCAATTTTGCTCATATTGTTTAAAAAAGGTTTATTTTAAAAATTTCTCCCAGTGAGAATAGAATAATACAACGCAACAGGGTGAGGCACGTACTAGTTAGGATACACTCAGTTGACACAGAAACAATAATGAAAAGATGAAGAATTGTTGATAAATTTGTAAATGCACTCTCAAACAGTTATAGCCCAGATTATCTACTCAGTAAAGTGATCAAGTCAGATGTAGTACATCTTACTAATTAATTCTAGCAAATTAAGTAGAAACACTTACAATGGCGAAAATGTTGAAGAATCAAAAGATATGAAGAACAGCAGATACTCAATTAATCGCCTAAGCAAGTAGTGTTTTGAAAGTAAAAGGTGAAGTCAAGACGATGAGGTTCTGTATTGGCTGACGTGAGAGATGCCAAAAAAGGTAACAGTCTGAGTGAACCAAGACACTACATATTAAAAAAATTTATAAAAGTTACAACCACAATGCAATTAAACACAACATCAATAAATCACAAGATAAATTAATCACAACCAAAATTTCAAAAGTCACAAAGTGTGATACCTAACAAGACATAAAGTATATAAATAAAGTAGTAAGCAACAAATACAAGATAGTACCGCTAACTAGTAACTACAAACATAAATAGTTCGTGATAAACTTTGAACTTTCAAGATAGGTAATTAGGCACATCATAATGAAAATAACAAAAATCAGCCAAGAGAAAAAGGAAAAAAAAAAGACAAATTAAAAAAAAAGGGATTTTGCTTTGCCGGCTAGTGTTGGTAGTCAAGGCAAGTTATAAGGTGGTTAAGGTCGCCACTAAAGGACAAGGGAGAAAAATAAAAGGAAAGATAATTAAGGAGTAATAATCCTTAGATAAGTTGTGAATTAGCTTGATATATTCACCCTTGCATTTTACTTTTTAGAATTAAGTGCAAAAATTAGACTACGGTTAAAGTCAAGTACAACATAAAATAGGGGGCTAAACAGCACCCCAAGATTGAACACAAAGACAGACACCTTTCGCGCCTAGCAGTGCCATGCGCCTGAGGTGCCTAACCGAGCTCTTGTGACACCAAAAGGCGCTCCCCTTAGCAATATTTAGCGCTTGGCATATTGTGAGGCGCTAAGATACAAAACCGCCTCACCTGAGCGCCTGAGGCGCTAAGGCATGATGCTTCTAAAACACGGTAAGCAAGTATTCATTATAGACCATAACGGCTGAAAAACTCATTATATCATAACTAATATTATAAAATATGTATAAATATGTAACATGCTTTTATGATATGTAATTACACTGTAGTATGAAGAGATTGACGATCTTGGCCTATATTTTGGTTTAAAAATAACATGTTAGTGATGTCGTAATCTTCTATTATGCACTTTCACAGTAAGATGTGAAATTCAAAGCCAGGAAGCAGGAGTTCTAACATTTTCGCTTCATGGGAGTGTAGAGTTCAGAATCCAACTATAAAGATTATGCAACTACCCAATATCTATAAAAGTCTCCCCCTGCTTCGTGGAGCTAAAGAATGAAGTCCTGGATCCGCAACATTTCAAGTTTCTAACCTAAAAAATTGCCAAATAGGTTCCTATCTAGCCTCCATAACTACTTTCCCCCCCTTGGTTCTTTAATGCTGCCAACACAAATTTCTCATTGTGGAGTGTGCTCCCAAAATAGTTTATGGGTTGGTCACTAGGTTGTTTACGGTTGATCCAACAACAATAAAAGAATAAATACACAATGTTCATTCAACTCTGGGTGTATATCAATCCTAGCGTTTGTCAAAACCACAACTAACAAACCCAAAACATCAAGTAAGTCAAACTACGAAACAACAACTGAATTCCTAACTATCTTTTAAATATAGCATTTGAAAAGGCCTACTCCAAAATTTAAAACCACAAATGCAAACCAATTGTAAACATTTCAATACAAATGCACGATAGAATTTCCAACATATAATGCATTTTCAAGATAAACCCCCCTGCAAGTGCATTCTCTTAAGTGCATATCAACAACAAACATCACATCTACACCCAATTCAAGCTGCATTGACCAAAACATTAAAGATAAAGAAATGGGTTAATTACCAAAAGCGTAGACGTCAATGTTCTTGAGCCCAAACACGCTCTTCTTCCTCACTCCAGCCGCTAACAGTCGCCGGGTCCCATCCAACACCGACGGAAAGCTCACCCCCGTCTTGGGCTCCACCGAGGTTGCAGAGGCCCCATCGGCGAAAGAGAGAGAAGCAAAGGCCCATGGATTTTGGCGAACTGGGCCTGGCTGATTTGATGATTGGAGGTAGAGGGAGAGGCCCACTCCGAGCCCAATGCTGGCAGCGGCCGCGACGAGAGGGAAATGGCGATGGCCGCTAGGTTTATTGGGCTGATTTGGGGGCTGATGGGAGGAGAAGGGGAAACGGAGAGCCATTACTATTCTGTGAGAGAGAGAGAGAGAGAGAGAGAGAAGCGTGACGCTTTGGAGACTTGGAGTTCATTCCAGGTTAAATTACACAAAAATACCATAAAGTTTCTCTTTTTGACAATTAAATATCATAAATAAAATTTCAATAAAAAATACTATAAAGTCTCTAAAATTTACATGTTATTACCATCGATCATGCAAATATAAAAATTTTAACCCAACTATTTCTCTGTGATACTTACTTTCTAATTTTAAAGCTTTCTAACTATTAATATTTGTTAAAATTTTCACTAGAAATATCCCAACTCTATTTTAAAGTAGAATTAAGATACGTTTGGGAAAAAAAATTAGTTGATTTAATAGAAAATTTAATAAATATCATTAGTTAAAAAACCCTAAAATTAGCATGTAAGTATCAAAGAGAAATATTCAGGTGAAAATGTCCATGTTTGCATGATTTTATGGTAGTAAGGTGCAAAATTTGAAAACTTTATATATATATATTTTATATAAAAAATGCAACTTGTGGTATTTAATTATCAAAATAGAAAACTTAATGATTTTTTTGTGCAATTTAGCCTTCATTTTGGGAATATTAGGCTTTTTTTTAATTACAACCCAGTATCCTGAGGTATGATGTAACTACATTGGTGATCCTGGTATAGTGTATGTACATGGACAACCCTAACTATTCTGATTGTAATTGCATGAACAACATTGAGAGTTAGCTTTTCTCTATGTTTTAGGATCATCAGTGTAGTTACAATTAGTAATATCATTGTTACCAGTTTAGATATACATACTCCAGGATCATCCGTGTAATAACATCATACCCTAGGGCATCGGGTTGTAATTAATCTTTTGGACAAATTTTCAAAAACAACCCTTTTACACATTTAATTGCAAAAACCGACCCCTTTTCAAAATAATTGCAAAAACCGACCTGTTTTCAGCCCAGCGCTGAAAACATGTCGGTTTTTGTAAAAAAATCTCCGAAACATCACGGGAGTTCAACTCCCGTGAAGTTTATGGAGAAATTAAACTTCACGGGAGTTCAAATCCCGTGAAGCTTAATTTCTGCTTAAAACTCCACGGGAGTTGAACTCCCGTGGAGTTACAGTCAGCAATTCCAGAGAATCGAGTCTCTGGCAAATTGTGACTGCAACTTCACGGGAGTTCAACTCCCGTGAAGTTGCAGGTCACCCAGCATGCACAGCTGCTGTGCAGGTTTTGTATATTTACCTGTAACTCATATATATGTCAATTTATTTGCAAACAACAATATATACATGATTCAACAATGAATTATAACTCATATATATGCCAATTTATTTGCAAACAACAATATATACATGATTCAACAATGAATTATAACTCATATATATGCCAATTTATTTGCAAACAACAATATATACATGATTCAACCATGAATTAAACACACACGATTATGTATATGAACAACAATTTATCTTCAAAAGTTTAGTATTTAAAAATTCAGGAAAGTTACAAAATTTATCAAAATAAGTTCATATACAACCCAATATAGCTCCCCTCCTTCCGGCTCCATCGGCATGCGAAGTGCCGGCTCCATCGGCATGCGAAGTGCCGGCGTCATCATCACGCGGCCGTCGACGTCGAGCGTACGCCCGTCCAAATGAGCGAGACCTATCCTCACGGCCTGCGAACTCATCGACGTGAGTCCTATGGAACACCTGCGCTATGCTCTTCTTGATCCTGCTGAGGAGGCCTAACGCCACCTGATCCTGAATCTCAGTCACGTGCGCATCAATATCAACATCAATGCTATCTAAAACACGGACCTGCGTGGTAAACAATTTATTAAGTATCAACTCAATAAAAAATATTATAATTTAGCTTAGAAACTTACATAATCTCTCTCATTCATCCCATTAGGGATGTAACTATCTGTCGGTGGGCGTGGCATGTGTCCAGCTAAGGGCTGTGGGTCACGCGTGATCCATCTACGTGTGATACCCCAATACCAACGCATATACGCGGTATAGTCAACAGCTGTGGGCCTCGTATCCTGTATGCAATCCCACCTGTGAACCCACCTGTCTATGTAGACCGTACGGACTACGGCCCAGTCAGTCTGGTGCGATGTAGGGCGCCGCCGACGATTGATCTGCTCGACAGGATCTGGAATATGCTGAGAAAGCGTAAACTGCCGTAGCACACGGTCCGGGACATGCATCTCTACGATCTCCCAACAGATCAATGGAACTCTGGCTCTCCACAAGTCGGGACTATCTCGGCAGATAGGTGCAAGAGAATGCATATCGAGCTCCGGCGGTGTATAGGGTCTCCACTTGAACTGAAATAAAATAAAACATTTATCAGTATCATACAGAAAAACTATAATATTCATACTTCTTGAGTTTTATATTTACTTGTTCGTGCTGGAGGCCATCAAGCTCATTTCGGTAAAACTGACGGTGACGCGTCGCTGATCTGTACTGAGCGTATCCCACGTTATACCTATATGCAGAATAGTGGATATATAAGCACAAATATTCAGGTTACGAATAAAATATGTGTGTGTACAATTATACATGTATGCCAACGGATACTGCCCCTCTAAGTCACGGTGCATAAGTAAAGTGGGTTGTCCAATATGAATGCGCTCTCATGACCAAATCTGTATCAACGTACAGCATCCCTTGAATTCTTTATTCTGCATCAGAGATACTCTACTCAATCCTCGATACAAATATGCCAACACCGCACTGCCCCACGATAGTGCGCCGCATACACCAAAATCCTCCAGCAGTGACAGCCATTGTGCATGTACGAGAGTCTTGCTCGCATCAGGAAATAGTACGCACCCTATCATGTGCAATATGTATGCACGAGCATGAAACTGGAGCGTCTCAATAGAGGCATCCTCTGGTATATCGCCCTGAAATGTCTGACGAAGCCACGATAGCTTCATCGCACCACTCCTCAAGTCGGGAACCTGACCAAGAAGCCTAGCACATACCTCCGGCCAACTATGATCATCGGTGCCCGTAACTGCTGGTCCATCGATCCAGAGTCCAAGTATGACGGCCACGTCCTGTAAGGTGATGGTGCACTCCCCTATATGTAGGGGTGTCCAAAAAGCCCGGTGTCCGGCCCGGGCCCGGAAACCCGGGCAAAACCCGGGCCCGGGCCCGGGCCCGGGTCGCCGTTGACGAGCCCTGTCCGGGCCCGGCCCGGGCCCGGAACAGTGCCCAAATTGGGCACTGGGGCTTCGAATGGCCGGGCCGGCCCGGCCCGGCCCGGGCCGAACGGTCACTTTCGTGACCGTTTTGGTCGGGCCGGGCCGGTCTGGCCCGGCCCGGCCCGGGTCAAATCCTTTTGACCGTTTTGCCCCTTAAAACGGTTTTGCCCCTTAAAACGGTCAAAAACGGCTATTTTTCGAGGGTTTTTTGGTCATTTACCTAGGGGGCTGCTTCTATAAATAGAGGGGGGGTTTCAATTCATTTCCTCACAACAAAACTCATCTATTTCTCTCTCTACTACTCTCTTATACAATCTTATACTATCTCATACTAATATATTTTTGGTCATTTACCTAGGGGGCTGCTTCTATAAATAGAGGGGGGGTTTCAATTCATTTCCTCACAACAAAACTCATCTATTTCTCTCTCTACTACTCTCTTATACAATCTTATACTATCTCATACTAATATACTACAACAACTCCTCATCCTACCGGTGTTAATCCTGAATCTGGTGGCGACGAATCTACAGCACCAAGAGCTCCAAAAAGGCCTAGATCTGATGTATGGAATTTTTTTGAGAAGATAGACGTCACCAAGGATGAACATGGTAGGATCATCTCTCAGAATGCGAAATGTGCGTTGTGCGGCCAGATATTCAAAGCTCATCATAAGAGCGGCACCAACCATCTCAAACAGCATATTGAAAACACAACAAAGGCCAAAATCTACAAGGTGATATCCGGCAGTCTATGCTTTCCCAATCATCCTCTTCAGGTACCCTCGGCAGTTGGAATTATGACGCTGCCCGAGCCCGGAAATGCGTAATCAGGTTTATTGTTCTTAAAAACCTTCCTTTTAAATTAGTAGAAGATGATGAATTTGAAGATTTATTTAGAGATGGTTTTTATCCTGCATTTACAAAATTTTCTCGTCAAACCTGTCAACGTGATATTTTAAAATATTATGTTGAGGAACAGGGAAAAATAATTTCTTATTTTAAAAATTTAAACTGCAAATTTTCTTTAACTTCTGATATTTGGTCATCTAGAGTGCAAACTGGTTATTTATGTATAACAGCACACTGGATTGATGAAAGTTGGAAAATGTTTAAAAGAGTTGTTTCTTTTATTGCAATTGAAGAGTCACACACTGGTATTAATGTTGCAAATTTAATTGTTGAAGAACTTATGAAACTAGAAATTGATCAAAGAATATTTACTCTTTCACTAGATAATGCAAGTAATAATAATGTAGCTGTTGATTTTCTGAAAATAACTTTGTCATTGCCATGTCATGGTGAGCTTTTTCATGTTAGATGTATCTGTCATATTTTAAATTTAATTGTTCAAAGTGCATTTTCTGAAATTAAACCCATGATAGAAAAAGTTAGAACAGTTACTAATATGCATAATGCTTCTGAAATGAGAATTAAAAGATGGAAACAATGTTGTAAAAGAAAAAATTATAAGCCTAGACTAATTCCAAAAGATGTTGACCATAGGTGGAATTCCACCTATGCAATGTTATCTGTAGCAATAGAATATAAAGAAATTATAAATGATTTTATAAATTTTTATGCTTCTAGTTCTAGCTCTGGTAGTGCTTATGGAATAACTGAAGATGAATGGACAGTTATATGTAAATTAAATGAGATGTTACAAGTTTTTTATGATGCTACTATGTTATTATCTGGTTGTTATTATCCAACTATTACTTTAGCTGCTTTACAAATTTTAAATATTCAAAAATTTTTTGCAAAATATCGTATGGATGATACTTTTGGAAATATAATTTTTCAAATGGAGAGTAAATTTAATAAGTATTTTAGGCCTATTCCTCA